GAGTTTATCTTTCTTCTTCCAGTGTAAGAACCAGCCAAAAAGAACAGGCTTATAGCTAGTCTATGGAATCATCGAAGCATAAAGAGTGATGTTTCCAAACGTAACCTAACGTGGAAATTCCCAACCTGATGTGATAATATTTGTGCACATTTATGATATTTTATACAATTGATGATAATTGATATTGTTTACATTGTTTTTTGTATGCTTTGTTCTCAGGAGTTTGTAGTTTTTAAGAAAAATCTTTAAAGGAACTTTTTAAGAAGAAAATTTTGAAGAATGAGGTATGTAAACACGTACATATTCACTACTCACTATTTGTTACTGTTTAAATTAAAATATTATAATAAGGCTTGTTCCTTTTATTTGAATTTTTTGCACATTTTATTTTTCTTTTTTCTTTTTTTTTTAAATCTTTTTCTCTATATTGGATATGGAAGTTCTAATGAAAGATAAGTCGAAAACGCAAAATTAAAGTTTTTCACTTGACGCTTGTTTTCGAGAAAATGACTTAAAAAATACATTAAATCCATATACGTGTACCAATTATAAGTGACAGATCACTATTTTTGTGATTTGTATTTGTATATGGACAATATTATGATTTGTGCGTTCCTTGCTATAGACGAGTTTTTTAATTTGTCGACTAATAAATCGCATTATGTGCACATGCAACTTTGCTCTATAAAAGCAACATTTGCGCATTATGCGATTAATTAATCGGTAAATTAAAAAACTCGTCTTATTATTTTACATACTATCATTTGTACTATTAACCTCTTTCATTCTTCTGTATTTCTCCTGTAATTAATTAGAATAATTTTGTAAAGAATAAGACTATTCAATTTTAAAAATTAATGATATTTATTTAGAATATTCTCCTCCTTTTAAATCTTAATAAAAATGTACTTATTTGACGTATTTTCATTCAAAGCGAAAGAATTCGGCAGAAAAACACGGCGATCTGCCTCGCGAAACAAATTATTAATCATAAAATTCGAGACTTTAGAGGTTAACTGTCATCAGAATAAAACTATTATTTTCAGCAATGATAAAAAAAATAAAACAGTATAATATTTAATATTATTCATTAATATAATAATTCTGATATATTATTGAATAATATATTACTATTTTGCTTCTGTCTTAAATAAAATTCTGATTGCATAAAACTGTTTAAAGTTGCTAATCTAGATTATTACATATCCATTAATAAAATTTATGAACGTTAAAAGTTATATTTTATTATACATTAACTAATTATTGTAATAAATACATATTTTCTTTTAGAGATATATAAACAATTATAGAGAATTTTAAGGATTACAAGATTATACAGATATATATGGTGCAAAAAGACGGAATATGATATTCCTCAAGGAATTTAGAAGATGTACTACCAACGAACAATGTCCAAATTGTGGACAACTTGTAAATACAACTTTTTCAAGAATTGTAAAAGATAGTTGTGGTCATACCAAATGTCGAATGTGCTTATTATATGAGGAACATGGTTGTAAAATTTGTCAAACTACACATTGCACAAGAAAAAATATTCAGGATTATTTAAGTAAGTAATTTCTGAGTTTTATTTCTGTCACATTTTTTAAAATTTGAATTTATGATGTAATTTTTTCTTATAAATTTTTTCTCTCTTTTCTATGATAAAAATTTTAATAATGTAGCAGAACCGTGTATCACAAATGAGAATTTAAATGATATACATAATCCAGTGAATGATTCATCTGCCAATGAAGAGATTATATTACCATTAGAATTGGTCATCAATAAGGATTCCAAGTCCAAGGAAAATTGTTCAGATTCAAACCTTATCAAACATGGATCATCAAAACTTTATGAAAAGAGTGCTTTTGATAATGATGAAGAAATCTGTGAATCTATAATGAATGATGCAGTCACTAATAATGATTCCAGCAAACTGTGCATTCCAAAAATAGAACCCTATAATGTAATATTGAATATTCAAACTCATTTAAGAAATGAGAATTGTGACTCGAAAAATCTGCAGAATCCACATGTAAAAGATATAGATAAATTTATATTTTATATTTTATTATAGTTACATTTTATATTTTATTATAGTTTATATTTATTATTATATTTGATTAATAAAAAATTTTATAAATTATTGGTTTTCTCAAAGTTAATATATTAAAAATTAAAAACTTGGAGATATTAATTATTAAGCATAAGTATTTATTTGCTACATAAACTAATGTATTTTTGTGTTTTAGGATAGTCAAACAAAAGTAAAAATTAGTGAAAAGCCTGTGGAAAATAGCAAAAATGTCAAATGTCATAATCGTACTCATATAACAATAATACCAGGTATCCCAGAAAAATACAAATGTAATGTATGCAGTAAAATATTTCGCAATAAGAAAGGCAAATGTTACCATGATGCCTGTGTAACAGGTATCAAGCCTTATCAGTGTACCCTTTGCGATAAGAGTTTTGTCAAACGTTCTCATTTCGAATACCACGAGAGAATTCATAGAGGGTATAAACCATATAAATGTAACCTTTGCGAAAAGGCTTTCCCTCAGCAAAATAAACTCAACAGACATATGCTTTCTCATAGCAGTAAGTGTGTTTAAATTTTGTTGAAATTATCTAATTATTTTTGCTAGAATTATATAATTAACTATAGAATATATTAATATTTTTAAATTAAGATGAATAATCAACAAATCTATAAAAACTCTTTTTATCTTTGAAATAAGGATGAAAAATATTTTGATATAGCTAAATATAAATTTTTGTGCATAAAAAAATGACTTCTAATTTCTTATCATATTTGGATTCTAATAATAATAAGTAATAAAATTTGCGAATAATTATACATAAGCTTAGAAAGTATAAAAGAAAATCACTTGAGGTGATATGTCATGTTCTGAAGAAAAGCAAAGATTATTATTTTCTAATGTGTGTGGGGGAAGAAGAGGGGCGCGTATGTGCGTGTCACTACTGGAATTCCAATTTTAAAAAAAAAATAATTATTCAAAATAATATTTTAAGTAATAATAGTATACAAACTATTATGTATATGTATATGTAACTATAATTATATATTTTAGAGGAAAAACAATTTACATGTCCCGAATGCAATAAACGGTATAGCAAACAAGATGATTTAAAGAATCACTTAAACATACATAATGTAACTTCTATATATAACTGCAAATCTTGTGATAAATCTTTCTACATATTAGCTCATCTGAAGCGTCATATGCAAACACATACAAGTAAGTATTAAAAAAATCCTTTCTTATTTTCGAATTCTATGAAAATCATTCTTAAACACAAATTTTATATTTTAATCTATATTTTAATCTAGTATGATAAAGTTACTTGTCATTTCTTTTTCCGATTTTAAAAGAATTTGTGAATAATAACATATTAATGATTATTACTATAGACGAACGGCCACACAAGTGCGATCAATGTAACAAAAATTTCAAAGACAGGTCTTTGCTAATACGTCACAAACGGATTCATGGAAAAGAAAGACCATTTTCTTGTGCTCATTGTAATAAAGTTTTTCTATCAAAAAGTGAATTAAGACGGCACTTAACTGTGCATTCAGGTTTGTAAAATGTTATGCTGTTTTTACATGATGACAAAGCTTTGAATTTATAAATTTATTTCTTTTAGATGAAAAACCATTTTCTTGTAAATATTGTCAGACGCTATTTAGACGTAAAGATAATCTAAATCGGCACATTAGGCATCATCATACTGAGGATTTTAATCGTGAAATACACAAAATACCAGTTGTCAAAACAGATCGAGCTTGTTCAATAAAGAATAGTCAACGACAAAAACAAAAATCAAAAAAGGCACAATCGAAAAGTACGGCTAAAGTTACCTCAACATTTGCAAACTTTCCTGATCAGATTAATTCACGGCTTGATTCTATGGGCAATATCACGCCTGTCATAAGGGCTACTAGTGAAGTAAGTAATGCAGTACCGGTGATTAATGGACCCATCAATATCAGGCGGCTAGAGGACAGAACAGATAAGAAGATATTTACATACACAGAACCGATTCCGATTGCTGAGGCAGTGGTACTTAACTGTCGAATCGAGGAGAAATTATATCCGCAAAGTGCCAATAGTCACAATTATTTTGTACGTAGTTATCTTAAGGATAGAAATTCTAAAGTGAATTCGTATCCTAACAATAAACTTGCATCGCAAGAAAATCATAATTTTGTAATGGATATATCTCCAATTGATCCACTTTCAAGAATGACAATAAATCAGAAGGATTGTACATCTGACATTCACAAAGAGAAAATTATAAGATATGAAGATGAAAAAGACAATCAGAATGAAGACGAGAAGAAGAAAAACGATGAAAGAAATCTTGATAAAAAAAGAAATTTTAAAGATCATAAGGAGGATCCAGGCATTATTTCTTTTGGAGAATCTAATTGCGTTTCTACGATCAAGAAACATATTACGCAGATGGAAGAACATGTGAATAAAAACTTAGCAAATAATGACAATTTGGATATAATGACATCGTCAAAGGATTCTCAGAATAAATGCAGAAAAAAACAAAATGATATACACTGGAGACGCCGAATTGCAGAGACACTGAAATCATGCTGATTTCGCGCAAATTGCTTCGTATGCAATATTTAGATTTGAAATAAACTCTTTCTTGGTAACATGGTATGTATAATAGTAAAAAATATATATGAAATTTATGACAAAATTTTTTTTCATTGAATTTTTTGCAAATGGGAATTGCATTCTCTGAGTTTGCAATTTAAAATAAAAATTGCAAATTGAAAACATTTAAGTTATAATTTCTTTCACTATTTTTAATATAAATTATATTGATTTAAGTCATTACAATGCACATAGATATATTAGTTAGATATATTATAGATATAATAGTTTTCATTGTAATAGTTTGCAAGTCAAGACTGATTGTGAAATATTGATTATATAATGTATAATCCAGGTAACATGTGTGTGTGTGTGTGTAAAAATATATAATGCTGCCACTTGCAACGCCATTATCGTTATTGTTATTTTTATAACGAACTGATAACGATAACGTTATTTTTTAATAACTGTAATGGTAACATAGTTATATTTTTTCAATAATGATATCTTCTATAACGAATTAATAGTTACTTTTTATATTTTAAATCTATGATATAATTTTTATATTATATTCAATGTTCAGTCTTCGATCGATATTTACAGTCTGTTGTTAGAGACTATAAATATCGATCGTTTTAGATTGTTTAAGATTCGTCCTAAAAATAGTTTTAAGTTTATTATAACTTAATCACAAGAACGGGGGGAGGGGGGAGGGTGTGCGTGCGTATAATAATTTATACGTACGTAATATTTATTGATTATCTTTCTTAATATATATTAATTTATACTATAAATAGACGCAAACTTAATATATATTTATATAATTAGAATTGATGGTTTATTTACAGTAATTAAATTACATTCAAAATTACATTCAAAATAATTGCACTGTAAATTATCTTTTTACAAAAAAACATTAATCAATTATCAATTATCAATTATCAATTAATCGATTATTTTTTATATTATAAATATTAATTATAAATTATAAATATTAATCAAAAACAATGTGTTTATTATCATAAGATTTATTCTCATTTTTTAACACCAATTCTTCTTACACTCGATTACACATATTACTGAGAACATTTTATAAAATTTACAGAATAAAAAACTTTTGCTGAAGACAAAAAATTTACGACTTACGTTAAAGTAATTAGTAATAAAATAAAAAGATATACGCAAATAAACATTAATAACATTTTTTTAAATATACGTATAAAATTGTCCCTTTTGCAGTTAGTTATCCTCATTATCTTTTTTACTCTATTGTTATAAGTTTATATATAAAAATATAATGATAAAAAGAATATTAATAATTTAATAAAATAATTCAGGTATGTCCGATATACATTTAGATCTTTTTATAAAATAAATATTACAAATATACATTGAGGGACACCTATAAAAAATTACTGATTCATGAATTTTATGGAATTTTATGGAGGAACGAATTGAATAAACTTAGTATTCTATAGCATACTGGAATGCTTTCAAGGAAGGGATTTTGCTCAAGAACGAGTTAAGAAAAATAGTTGAGTTGCACATAGATTATTTTTCCAATCTTTTTCAGTCATATATTATCTGAGCTAAAAATGTTAGTTTACAAAAAAATTGCATTTATTTAGTAAGATTGTATAGGTTGTAAATTATGTTATACATATTGTGTGAAGGCATGGAATAATCATATCATGTAAATAATAAATTTTTGTATTGAAGATTTAATCGCACAACTGTGCATTAATGTACGTGCTGTAAATATGATTTATGATAGCACAATACTCATCTATAGTTATTAGGAAATTAAGAGGACAATATGTATGTGAAGAGACAAAGAGTAGAGTGTCCAGATATTTTCTCTCTCTCTCTCTCTCT